CAGTCAGTCAGTCAGTCAGTCAGTCAGTGGTTGTCAGAGTGGTTTGTTCTTCTGGGCAGCTATGGCTAAAATCGTCATGGAAGCTGGGGAGGTAGCAGTCCTGCCGCAGGCCAACCTGAGCCCTTTGGGTTGCTGACCTCACCAAGGCTGCTTCTTATGAACCAGAATGTTTTCATAGGAGGTTGTGTTATGCTTTTTAATGGAAAATAAACACTACTTTCCAGCTTCAGAAAAGAGTCTCTATTGTTGAAGACAGTAAATTATCTCAGAACTGGGACAAAGAAGATGCATGGATGAAGCCTGGGGCCAAGAATTTATTTCTAATTTATTTACGAAATTTTCATTGAAACTTTTCAATGATACAATATTCAGAAACTTTACAAACTTTTGTATAAAATAATCCCCTGGGTAAAAAATACTGAAGTTGAAAATTTCAAATCACATTTGAATGATTTTACATGGATGTACAATGAATCCATTTTCTGAATATTCACATTTTAAGATAAAAATGTGGTACAAATGGCAACAGCAAGTAAATTGGTTGCCAAAAAGAACACAGATGATTACACTACCTTTTGTTGCCTGGTTGCTAATGGGGGGTGGATTTGATGCTGGCCGCTTGGTTGGATGAAGAGGTACAGTGGATGCTTCACCATATGGTCGGTCGGAGCTGAGACCGCTATCACTTAATCTGCACTCCTCGTCAATTAAGTTGCAGTCCTGCATACATTTGCTATGCTGAAAGTTTATTCCATTATTTTGCACAGGATTCCTGTTTTCTTGAATTCTGTAACAGGTTTCAGATGCAACTTCTTTCTTAACATGTTTCTGAGTTTTACCTGCCTCCTATATATGTAGAAAAGCATTTAAATCCATTATGCTTTTAATAAAATGTTGAATGTATATTTGTAGAGTTAAGCAAACAGCACCAACATTTATTATAAGACACTTAACGTGATTGCTTGTAACTTGATTTATCTACACTCAAAGTTATATGCTGGAAGGGTTATACAAACTAAATAAAATAACATATTTACTATATAAAGTGATGCAAAAGAAATGTAATTAGGAATACTAAACTCATTACATCTTTCAATAGATATTAAAATAAAACTATAAAATTTAGTTTCATATATTTTACTAAACATCATTAAAGTGCATTTTCAGAGGTTTGCAAGCTATAATCAGAACAAATTGTTTATATCTGAACTTATCTGTTATTTCATTACTGGTATTAACACAACAGATCTCTAAAAATGGTTAAATCTCCTATTTCATACCTACATTTGCATCTATAGTTTAGTACTGTATACAACAGCACAATACAGAACTCTGTGCCCTATTATAATCCCATTGAGTGTTCTACAGCTTAAATACATTGCAGAAACACCCACATTCTTTCAGTTAATGTAGCAAGATTCACAAAGTGTACATTCATATTAAACAGAAATGGATAATCTTATAGTTTTCAATTATACTCAGTCTCATCTTTGGCAATCCCAGTGGATTATGAGAATTTTAAACCAAAGCATCTACAGATCAGAACCCTGGTTGATGTAGAGATACTTTTTTACATATTTTATGAGGGAAGAGATACATATTTTATCAGGGAAGAACTAAAGAATTATAATTAGTGAATATGCAAAAAGTGGCATACACTTATTTTAAAAAGTCAATTTTTTGAACATTCAGTAAATATACTGTATCTCACCTGAGGACTGATTTTAGAAACTGCATGTAATGGTGTAAGAAATACTGCATCTCCCATTTCTTTTTCATCTTTTATGTGCTTGCCTGTATGGAAATTTAAAATGTTCAGAAACATTTCAAGAATTCTGATTTTAAAAAAGAAAAGAATTCTCTCCCGTTTTCCCTACAGTGATAACAATTGTTATGATTCATAGAGCTTTGTTTACTCTATTTCCTATCCACAGTTCATATACAAATAATCCTCAACTTACAATAGTTCATTCAATGACTGTTCGAAATTACAATGGCACTGCAAAAAATGACTTATGACCGTTTTTATAACCTCTGTAGCATCCCCATGATCATGTGATCAAAATCCAGGTGCTTGGCAATGACCTATACGTATGACCTTTGCTGTGTCCCAAAGTCATGTGATCCCTTCTGGCAACCTTTTGACAAGCAAAATCAATGAGGAACTCAGATTCACTTAACAACCCATGTTACTAACTTATCAACTGTGGTGATTTATTTAACTGCGGAAAGGTCATAAAATGGGGAAAAATGGGGAAAGTTTTAGCCTCAACTGTGTCTATAAGTTGAAGGCTATCTGTACTGTTATATACAGTAGAGCTTAAATATTATTAATAATAATATATTCAACATTAATAATAATATTGAATTGTCAATATTTCTGCATATATATGGTCTAAAACATGAACTGTTCTTTACGTATGTTCTAAAACTAAATAGAGAAAATATAGATAAATAAATACTATAAATATAGTATTTACAATATGACAAGGATCTGATTTTAAGACTATCCTAAGTGGCAAATCCACCACTCTTTTCTGATCAGCAGGTTAGGACTCCCCAAGTCAAATGATATATATGAACCATGTTTGGATATTTGGAAGCCAAAGTGATATCTGCTGTCATTGCAGGAAGTCCTTAGGATTTGGCTTAGTTTCATGTTCCATGTACTGAGATAAAGCTATTCTACATCTATATGCTAAATCTGACCCTGGTTCAAGATGCCTAGACACACTGAAAGGTGTCACTGTTCCTCAGAGCTCATTTCAAGTCCTCTGAACCAAAAGGGAATGATCCCCATCATTTGCACACTGAGCTTGCATACTGGGCTACAAGCATACTGCACAGTTCACAGTCCTTATATTATTATTCATATAAATGTTTATGGAGATACCGTTTGCACAGATCATAATATGATGCCATTCAATCAGAGGAAAGCTTTTAATATAAGGTGAATTGGCCTCATCTCCAACAGACTAATTGAAAGAATTTATTCCTCTAGCGACCAAGCCCTTGAATTTAATTATTCTGGAAAAAAATTCCCCAGCCCAACACGTTTGTATCCATGGCAATACGGACCTTATAAGATTCTCTCTAGGGCAGATAACAGATCATCAGAGTTGGAAGGGACCTTGTAGGTCATCTAGTCCAACCCCCTGCCCAAGCAGGAGACCCAACACCATTTCTGACAAATGGCAGTCCAATCTCTTCTTCAAAGTCTCAAGTGATGGCGCTCCCACAACTTCTGAGGGCAAGCTGTTCCATTGGTTGATTGCTCTCACTGTCAGAAAGTTTCTCCTTATTTCCAGGTTAAATGTCTCCTTGTTCAGTTTCCATCCGTTATTCCTTGTCTGGCCTACAGGCGCTTTAGAAAATAGCTTGACCCCTTCCTCTCTGTGGCAGCCCCTCAAATATTGGCAGACTGCTATCATGTCTCCCCTGGTCCTTCTCTTTACTAGACTAGCCAAGCCCAGTTCCTGAAACTGTTCATTGTATGTTTAGCCTCCAGTCCCCTAATCATCCTGGTTGCTCTTCTCTGTACTTTTTCTAGTCTCAACATCTTTTTTATAATGTGGTGAACAAAACTAGATGCAGTACTCTAGCTGTGGTCTTACTAAGGCTTTATAGAGCGGTATTAGTACTTCCCTTGATCTTGACTGTATCCCTCTGTTAATGCAACTTAGGATTGCATTAGCTTTTTTGGCTGCTGCTGCACACTGCTGGCTCATATTAGCTGGTTGTCCACTAAGACTCCAAGATCCTGCTCACAGTTCCTGCTATTGAGCCTGGTTTCACCCAGTCTATATGTGTACTTTTGTTTTTTCTTGCCTAAGAGTAGGACTTTACTTTTCTCTACATTGAATTTCATTTTGTTAGATATGGCCCAGTGTTCTAGTCTGTCAAGATCCATCGGGATCTTGAGCCTATCTTCTTGGGTGTTAGCTATTCCTGCCAACTTAGTATCATCTGCAAATTTGGTAAGTTCCCCTTCTAGTCCCTCATCTAAGTCGTTAATGAAGATATTGAAGAGTACTGGGCCTAAGACGGAACCTTGTGGCACCCCCTGCTTACTTCCCTCCATGCAGACTTAGACCCATTAAGGACTACTTGTTGAGTATGGTTTGTCAGCCAGTTGCGAATCCATCTAGTGGTGGTGCTATCTATTGAGATATCTATTATTGTATTGGCAATCACCAGTACAAGTTGGTTGCCACCACCCCTACTGTAAGAAATTAAATGTGACATTAATGTACTCCTTTCTTTTAATGAAAGAAGAAATCAGGGTATTGTCCTTGCATACAATCATACCAAGTCCTGAACTATAGGCATCATATTCTGCATCTTTATCTGCGCTATAAGTGATTGCTACATATTAACACTTCCTGGATCACAATCTGGATCATTAGTCTTCACTCTTGAGAAGAAAAGCCTTTTTCCACTAAGTGCCTATTATGATTCTCAAAGAACTTTTCTCCCTACTTATCACAAATGCATAGTCACAAACACAAACACTGAAAAGTCTGATCAATAGTCCTGACTGCTTCTACCATGGAGAAAGTTTTGGCTGTCTGTCTGTGTTCTTCCTGAGTTTTTAGGTATTGTACCCAACCAAAGATGATGTCTGTGAAGACTCTTTAAGAGTCAAGGATGAATGGAAGAGTTCTGAATTGAAAGTCCTCCTTCCTGTAAATAATACTGAAACACTTTAAGGGTATAGAATGGTTTGATTTGGACAGACCTATTGATGCTAGGAAATTCTTGAGGAGGATCAGTTTTGCCATAGAGACCAGTTTCCATTCTGAATAATCAATGACAGATGAATTTTCCTCCTGGCCACAGTTGCCACCTGCTTTTTCAACACAAGCTGTGACTCCAATAGCATCTTCAAATTGCACAGAAGACTCAAAAGAGGAAATGCAACCTTCACTGAAAACTAGCAGCAAAGTAAGCCAGAACTACAAGGCCAAAATAAAAACTGTCATTTGGTCTTGTAAGGACAAAGCCCAAATCTGTTCTGCCTCCTCCAAAGTCACAAAACTTCAAAATACTGAGCTAGGACTTTAAGGGGAACACTCAGTTGGCCTAAGGTAAAGTTACACAACAGGATATTAATGATACCAATATTATTGAAGACCAAAATTGGAATAGATATATGTCCCCAAATTAAACAGATTATTGGCTTTCAGGATATGCTGAATTGTTCCCTTTTCACTTACAAGTACTGGAGCCTGGTCAAAAGACAGACTTACTATAAAAAATATTGAACTCAGGCTTTGAGAACCAGGATGGAATTCTTTTACATATGAAATCCACAATCTGAAAATTATGTAGCTAGAGCAATATCATATTGTAAATGGAAACTGTCTTGTTTCTGTTATCATTAAACAAATGGGAGTTACAAAAACCTTATTAATCCACTGCAAATCACAAGGTTAGGATTTATCTTCAAGCCACCCTGAAATATCCAGCAACAGGACAACTTACCATATTCTGGTTTAAAACTCTGAGAAAACATTTTATCTTTATGCCTATTTTTGGAATAGCTTCTGTGATCTGGAACAAAGCTTCTTCGTTCAGTGCTGTCTGTGGTCTGAGTATGACTTGGTAAACAAGTGGTATAGTGCAATCCTGCCATTGACAGCATGCCCTGAATAGCTTCTTCCTCCATACTTGTTGAGGTAGGACATTCCCTAAAAAAGAGCAGAAAAGTACAGCTACATACGTGTGTATGTGTGTATTCCTGTTCAATATCATTTGTTCAAATTATCTCCAATATTTTTTGTACCACAGACCTCCTATACAATTACAACTACTCACATTTTATTTGCATTTTCATTCCTAGATGGCTTCTCTGTGATTTGAAACAGGTCCTTTGTTATTTTATTTTCCTCTTTAAAAATTGAAGTTACTTCTTGTTTTTCATCATCTCCTGAGCTTTCTGATTCCTCTAGTGAGGAGTCTTTTTGCTGCAGGGAGAGAAAATTATTTAAGTATTCCACTGACTAAATATAATCAGTGATTTAAACTCTAAAGAGTCATCAAAAAGATAAATAACAGGTTTTTTTCATTCAAATAATACTGTAGTAAATGTGAATAGATTGCTGAAATGCCTAGGTGTGAAATCTTAGCTTTAACACAGTTATTTGGGACAACCCATTCAAGACTAGTCAGCAATTTAAGAATGTTCCTGAACTCACAATGCAATCAAACATGTGACAGCTATGGCCTAGAGGACCTTTTCCCAGTTTCATTTGATATACCAGTTCTGCTCTTTCTTTGATCAGAAGACCCTTAGAACAATTGTTCATGCTCTAGTCATCTCATGGTTTGACTACTGCAAAACACTCTATGTGAAGCTGCCCTTGAAAGCAACTCAAAAGTTCCAATAGGTCCAGAATTCAATAGCATGAACAGCAATAGGCATGACTTTGTATTCCTATGTGACACATTTTTTAAAATTGGACTGGTTGCCTTGATGAGTCCAGGTGCGATTACAGGTACCAATCCTACATATAGGACATATAAAGCCCTACATGGCATAGGGCCAGATTATTTGTGGGACCACCTGTCTTCTATAGTTTCTGCCTTGCCAGTTGGTGCTGATAGACTACACATGCTCCACATCTCTTCAGTTAAATAGTGCTTTTTATCAGGACCCAGGAAGCATGCCTTCTCTGTCACAGCAGTTACCCTCTGCAACAAGATCTTCACTGAAATCCATATGGCTTTCACCTTGTTAGCATTTCATAAGGTCTTGAAAAACCTCTCCCAAGCCTTGAGTTAAGATGGCTGGATTCCTTTGTTAGATGTATTTTTGCCTACGTTTTTGCAGTGAGAGATTGAATAGTATTTTGTTTTTGTTTTATATTTTTATTACTTGATATATTGTGAACTATTTAATCAATTTAGAGTTGGGCAGTCTTAAATTTAAATAAATGAATATAAAGGTCAAGTATGATGGAAAATAAGATAAAAATATCCCCATATACATGACTAATCCAATTGAGTAACAATTGAGGTGAAGTACCTTGCATTTGGTACGAATGGATTTAATTAAAGAGAGCATCCACCCACTACAGACCCTTACTTGTTATTCAGTATGCATTAGTCATATTTTAAATCATGGTCATATGTTATGATCAGTTAAGAATCAAGAACATTTGAACAGAAAGGAAACCATTTACAGTAAGAAAAGAAAGAAAAGCAGAAACTTAGATTCAGGGGGGAAAAGCAAGGGTTATTTTGTAAAACTCCTAATATTGTATATGTATTCAGTCTAACTCGCTAATCTTTATTTTGTTAGTCATACACAGAAGTATTCTTCAGTATGTTTTCCATATTTCATTTGAAACAAATATTCTTTGGACATTAAAAATATAATTATTTATTTATTACTATTTTAAAACATGTTATTTACCTGGTTAGTGCAATCAGGTTCAGATTCTTCTGAATCAGAAATATCAGAATATTCTGAGCTGCCATTCCTGAGTTCTGATTTCACACTTTCAAAAAACACTGGAAAGAAAAAGAGGGATATTACATTTTTCATTATATACATTATCTTTTTTTTCCTGCCAATCTTTTAATCCCATAACAGTTCATTGCTTAGAAGCAAATAGAATTTGGTGTCAGAATAAACTGCAGTGCTTGAATTTCTTTTCTAATTTTCTCTCTTGCCCCATTCCCATAAGTTGAAACTCAGATCCATTTCCCTACATGTGCATGAATTCACACATCTATACGAGTTAGTATTTAGAAACACTATATCTGCCTAGGTTTAGGTAGAATGTAAAAATCTTAACTTTTGGTTATGTTCTAATGCAGGGGTCTCCAAC